TCTTCAACTAGGTCCTCCAGTAGAGAGGTTCGAATAAGGGTACCACCTTTTTTTTCTGTCGTCGATTTTAGTAGGGGAACCCAAAAAACACAAAAAACAAAAGTGCGAAAGGGCACCGAGCTGGGCGACCTAGTCCAGCACCAGTTTCTTCACCCCAAACCAACCAGACCGATGCCACCAAAGAGGGCGGCGTGCGACGGTGCGGAAGCAGCCAGGCGCCCGGACGCCATTTGGAGCCCCTCCTCACAGAAGTCCATGCCGTTGCCTCAGCCGGCGACTTTCCAAAGACACGTGCGACCATCAACTTCCATTGGATTGATTCGCCCCCTGGATTGATTCCCTTGAAAACCTTTTTCCTTGAATTTAAGCAAATGGCCCCACAAAAGATTCCTTTGAAAGCCTTTCTCTTAAGGCCTGCCCTCCGTGGGTGCAACTGGGTACACCCAAACTCCTTTTAAAACAAGTTTCTTTTCTTTTTTGAGCAAATGGAAAAGCATCCCTGTGCTACGCATCGGGTGCAAAACTGGCTGATCGCTATGACTCATCACGGAGCGCAACTTCACCCTGTTGCTTGCTATTGAAAGGGAGGTCAAACCCCCCCCGGCGCGTCGGGGTTTAGGGATGGTTTAGGCTGCCGGGACCCTCTGTGGCCTAGTTTCGGGCATGCCGTACCCCTTGGTTCGAGGTCCCCCCCCCTCAGCTCGCTGCGGCAGAGATCTAGCTGCAAGGAGCCACGGGCTGCTCGCCAATAGGCCTCGCCGGCAAAGACGATGGGGGGCTCGTCTCTTTCTAGGGCCACCCCCCCCCCGCAACACGGGGTTTCCTTTGGGACGCCCCTTTAATAGCCACAAAAGAGAGGGGTACCCACTAATAATGATGGCACTTGGCTGGAATTAGGACCCCAGCATGTTTTTTGCCTGGTTAGTGGAAAACAAAGGGAACCCCAAAAAAACAAAAAGCAAAAGGGGGGGAAGGGCAGAGCGCACTTGGCAATGGAACATGAGAGACTCGACACCCTGGGAAATCGAGAATCCCAGAATCCGAGAACCCGAGAACCCAGACACACGCCATGGTTGCCAGTCACTGCAAGTACCACATCACCAGCTTTCTAGGGGTAACTTCCCAATTCTTTCCAGAAAACCACCCAAACCCTGGGGAAACGGATCCGGTTTTTAAAAAGAACGATGGCTGAAAAGAATGAAAAAGGAATCAACCCCTAGAAGCTTTAGCTAGAACATCCCAACACCCAAAGGACGAATCCACCGGACAGGGGCGCATGAAAAAATATCGCTTCCTGCGTGGATGGGACAAAAAAGGCCTGAACCGTCTATTTACCGCCAAAATGCTCCAATCCCAAGACTAAAGTCAACATGAACTCAGGGAGTGGCTTAAATCCATGATTTGTGATTTGGATTCCACCCAGTCAATTCGCCCACGAACGTGCGAAAGAAGCGGTGAATGCGCCTTGATGTTCTTGGGGTCCTGCTCTATCGCCTTGCGGCAGTCATCCACCTTGGCCGGGCTTGTTTTAAATCCAGTGGATGCATTTATCCTGGACAAACCCTGGGTTTCACATGTTTCAACCCTGTCAAACCCTGATCCATCAACCCTGTAACGCTGCTTCAACAAACCCAGTGGACCCCGGATTGATAAACCCCTGTTTATTATTTATTGCTAGGGTGGGCACCTCCTGAAACAGGGGTTGATTGACTTCCCATCGAGAGGCCAACAAAAAGCCTAAGATGATTGCTTACTACCCAGAGGCTCCTGGGGCTTTCAATGGAAGACCGGCCCCTCCATTGGACACCCCGCAGATGATTGGGGTTCTCAAAACCGGTTGTTTGAAGGCTCTAAATCCATAGAGCTGGGTACCCAAAAAGTGACTCTCAAGTCCAGGAACTCAGGAAGTGAGACACTAGGGAACCAAGGGGCTTGCCACCCCTCGAAAACCAAGCAACAAATTGCGAGGACTTTCCTACTATAAGGGCTTTCCCATTCACCAGCGCCACGCGGTCTCCCTCGCTTTCGGGGCGGCTGGAAGCGTCTTTTGGATCTGAGATGATCTGAGCTGGGTCCAGCACCTGAAATAAGAATTGGATCCCCCAATGCCCAGGGCCATTCAACTTCACTTCATGAGTGGATCGGATCCCAACATCGGCTACAAAGTATGCAAACTGCTGGCGTACCTCCCCGTCCAATAACCTGGGTCGCTCAAACAATGTCGTCCAAACAACCGAGACGTTTACTTGAGATCGAAAGCCCATCGCTTTCTTTCCAACGAAAGGCGTCGCTCGATCGGCTCGCTCGATCAAGCGATCCGAGCGAATTCTGGGCCTCCGGGCTGCCTCGACAAACTGCCGCAGAAGCAGCCGCACGTGGGCGCGGTTGCCTCACGTGGGCCAGTCATGGGAGAACACACCACCCACACCACATGGCGCCGCCACAGCTACCACGGGACCACGCTACGGGCACTACGGGCACCACGGGCACCGCGGGCAACACGGCTTCCACGAGCACCACGGGGGGATCACGAGCGCCACGGGAACGGGGCCGCACCACGGGCACCACGGGCCACACCACGGGCACCACGGGCACCACGGGCACAACGGCCACCACACCACAGCCGCTACAGGCAGCACGGGCATCACGGGACCACACCCCGGGGAACACGCCACGCACGCACCACGGGCACCACGAGCACCACAGGGCACCACAGGGCACCACGGGCGCGGCACCACGGTACCACACCAAGGACTGCCACCACGGGCCACGCGCACCACGCACACTACGGGCACCACCACGGGCACCAATCCGAAACCACCCTAAACCAACCCGAAACCAGCCCTACAACCAACCCTAAGCTGACCAAATTAGCCTCAAACTACCCTGAACAAACCAGCCCTAAACCAGCCCTAAAGCAACCCTAAGCTGACCAAACCAGCCCTGAAGCAACCCTAAGCCAACCATAAACCATAACCCTAAACCAACCCTAAACCAGCCTTAAACCAACCCTAAACCAGTCCTAAACCACCCCTAAACCAGCCAACCACAAGCCATAACCCTAAACAACCCTAGCCTAAACCAGCCTTAAACCAACCCCTAAACCAGCCCTAAACCAGCCCTATGCCGGCCGTAAACCAACCCCTAAACCAACCCTTAACCAGCCCTAAGCCAACCCTAAGCCAGCCCTAAACCCTTAGCCAGCCCTAAGCCGCCCTAAACCAACCCCAAACCAACCCTAAACCAGCCCTAAACCAGCCCTACACCAACCCTTAACAAACCCTTAACAAACCCTTAAGCAGCCCTAAACCAACCCTTAACAAACCCTTAAGCAGCCCTAAACCAACTCTAAACCAACCCTAAACCAACCCTGGCCCTAAACAAGCCGGTTTCCAACTCCGCCGATCTTGTTTCCAACTCCGGGCAGGACAGTTTCCAACTCCTGCCCTGGCAGTTTCCGACACACCGGTATCTGACTCCCACCGGTGGTTTCCAACTCCTAGTTTCCCCCCACTTTTGGTGGCTCCAAAAATGGAAGTGGCAAAAGGCAACCATCAAAGCCACCCCCCTAGGTGGAAGGTTAAATTAAAGGGAACCCACCCCAGTTTCTTAATTTAACCCCCCAGAAACCTTCAAAACATACGGACTCCAGAAAAACAGAGATTGAAACGATCGCCACTTTTGGAGGTCCCAACACGGGAAATGGCTCGGAACCAACATGTGAGAACTGGCCAACAACATGGCACCTGGAAGATCAGCTTCCTCTCAAGAAGTGACACTTTGTCAGGTGCCATGGCGCGGGAGGGAGGGTAAAAAAAACAACTGAGGCCATGATTAAGAACTGAACAAAAAAGAAGAAAAACAACAGACGCAGTCAAAACAAAATAACTCCAGAGAAAGAACACGAAAAACTGATCAACAAAAATGGGGCCATGACTAAAAATTAAACGCTGACCCCCCAACAAAACGAAACTAACAAACACAAATGACCAAAAAAAAGAAACAAACTGACCAAACCATGGGGCCAACAAAAAATGAGGCCAACCATGACGAACAAAATGAGGCCATGACTAACCTAGGTCCTCCAGCAAAGAGGTCACAATAAGGGTACCATTTTTTTTCTGTAGTCTATTTTAGTAGGGGGGAACCCCTTCCCCAAAAAGGGGGGTTCCCAACCAAAAAGGAAGGGTGAGAAAGTTGGCACCTGGGGCACCACGTTCAACTCACCCAACTAACACGTTCAACGCACCGAAAGCGTCCGTCGACGTTTTTACCGCCGCTCCGCCGCGCGGCTGTAGAGCTGGGCGTTGAGCACCGGGTCGCTACACCGAACCTCCAGGCCTCGGATGAGTGGCAAGTGAGTCACCATCAAAGCCGATCGGTACACAAATGGTGAACCCAGAGCCATGCTTCAAGAACTAGAAAGGCGGATATCCGCAACTATTTCCGGCCGGCCCCTTACTAACCTTCATCTGCCCAGGTTTTGATTGTGGCTCAAGTCAGCTTCCCTCTGAGCCGAGTCGGTGAGCCCAGTCGGTGGTGAGGGGGAAAAAAACCCCTCGGTTGGCGGTGGAAGGGGAGCAAAAGTTCCCAAACTTTAGCATACTTTAGCTGTTAAGTGGGATTTCAACCACTAAACCACAATTTACGCAAAAATGTGGTTAATGTTTCCCAACAACCATGCAACCTTGTTTTTTACAAGAATTACAAGTTCAAATCCCAGAAACCACGACCCTTGCGCATGCAGAACTAACTCAGACCCTTGATTTACACGTGCAAGCTGACAAAGCTTCCCGTGTCATCCCCTCGCACCCGTTTTCCAGCCGCCGGAAAGCGCTCGCGTTGCCGCGGAGCCAGCTATACGATGCGAAAAGCGCCCCTCTTTTAGAGGAAACCGAGGACACGTACAGTGGACGCACTAAAAATTGAAAGTAAACCAACCACACCCAACCACAAAACCACGGAAACAACGCTGAATTAGCGGGGTTCCTTGTTCTCTTCCTGCAATTTTCAGGCATCCACCCTGCGCCTTTTGCTAGAGACTTACATTGGCCAAAGGCTGCGCCCATCGCGGCAGCCGCATCCGGAAAGCTACATAGTCCTCCAAAGGCAGGAACGGAGCAATGGTTCAATGTAGATTGCACCCCATTTCCCTGCAGAAAACTGGTAAGCTATGCCGGCAGCTGGTGGGAGCCAACATCCTGCCGCTGGAGTTTTCAACAAATGCAACAATCAGCATGGAGTTTCTAAAGGGGGTGGTCCACTCCTTGGCGATCCCCCAAGGCTAACCCCAACAAACTTTAGCGATCTGTGGTGAAATCTATCCAGTCTCCCTAAGTTGGACATGTCTTTCTCCGGGCTTCTACCCAGGTCTCACTTGCTCCTTGGGGACCTTTCAGGATCTCGACCAAAGATGGACCCAAAAGCAAACCAAAAGAAGCAACATAGGGTCAGCTTTGGGCAACCGAGCGGTAGACCATGTGTTGGAACCCGAGTTTTTTTCCAGCTGGGAAAACCGAGCCCGAAACCTTCAAGGGCCAAAGAAAACAACACCGGTCACTCTCATCTGGAGATGGCCCGATGTGCCCTTTCCGAAAGGCCGACTCTGGCAAAAAAGGAGAACATGTCGCGCCCCACTGGCTTAAACAACGCGAAACACAAAAAACAAACGCACACACACACACACACAAACAAGACAACACGACACGACACAACAACATAAAACACACAACAACACACGACTCACGACAAAACAACACGCAAGGACACACATCAAAGACAACAAAACAAATGCAACACAAAAAAAAACAAAAAACAGAACATAGATGACTCCCCAAGAACCGGCATTGCTTGTGGCAATTTGGTAGTTTCCACCCCCTCCTGCCAAACGTAGCGCAGCACCCTGTGCAGGGTGTCCTCGCTCGTTTGTTGTGTCTTTTGTTGTCTACCGGGAGTAGCCCATGGTCCCACATGGCTCCTTCTGGTCGACCCCAAATTGAAAACGCTCGACATTGTGGGCATGGAACGCCTAATCTGCGGGGTTTGACCCTCTTTCCCTTTAAGCCAAGCTGAAACGGGTACAACCAACAAAGCACTGAACAACTTCTCGTTGTCAACTGACGAAACACCAGCAGGACACCAACCATTTCAGCTCCAAGGATGGCCCATCGTTTCCCTCAGGCCATGGATCGATTGAAAAAGGCTTAAACCCAAGCAACCGGCTACATGGACACCTCGTCATTTCCTCGGTTCGCTTTTCAGACATTGGACGGCCGGTTCCCCGACTCAAAGCAGCCAGCAGCCAGACCCCAAGAAATGCTCCCCTACAAGAGCCCCTTGAACATTTGGCACGGAGAATTTCGAGAAAAAAAAGTGATCATAGCAAACTCTGCGCAATGGCCCTGCTGGTTCCCGGCCTCGCCAGAAAATATGAAAACACTCTTTGCCTCCTGAATGGTGAGCCCAGGTGGTATCCCCGACCCCTAAGCTTGCAGCTGTTGTGGGGGAACAGCTGTGTAGCTAGCCCTTGGTTACTCCCTGTGCTGGTGCTAATATTCAAACAAACCACCGTTTCAAAAACCAAAAGTTGAAAACGGCCTGGGGGGCTACCTACTACGTTTTATGACTTCGGGAAAATAATGAGAAGCCTGAATTTGTCGGTTTCGCAACTTCTTGCTTCTATGGCTTTGTGCCGTGTTGGCGCATTCCCAGGCGGTTCAGCACAGAGGTAGAGACCGATTGGCGAAAAGCTTATTTCCCGGTGAAAGCAAAGGGCATTGTCCACCAATTGTCTAATACAGGGGGCTAAATAATTGCATGTTTTATACCCTCACACTATCTATTCCAATTCCTCGGCCTCTGCTTTTTTTGGACCATTGCATCTCGGTTGCTTTCTGCTCCCCTGCTAAAAGTTTAACTTTTAGTGGTTTAATGGAACACCCATTAGTTGGCAAGAAGTTCAAGTCCTAACATCCAAGCAACATTCTTTCGCCGGCTTGGCATAAACGGCAGCAAGATTGCCATGATCAGAGTTAGGCCCAGTTACAGAATGTATATTGTTTGCTCACGTTGAGTCACTGGTGAACTGTAAAATGTATCTCACTTCCTGAGTTGATGGGGCAAACAAAGTTTGAACTTTTTATTTACCACTAAAATGGTCTTCCCAAAAAGTTTGAGATCCTAAGCCTACCCCAGTCGCAAAGGCGTTTCTCCTTCTTCCGGTAGAAGGTCCGCAGGGCGGCCGTGGCGCGGTCCTGCTGGCCTCAGGTCGCCGGGCTGTCGCACTGTCTTGGGCCGGGGGGGGAGGGGAGGGGAGGGGAGGGGAGGGGAGGGTAAGGGAGCACCTTGATTCATCAAAGAAACGGATATATGCGGTGGAGGTGCTTTGAAACAGAAACCTGGCAGTGCATTCTTTAAGGGATGCTGCAAAAAACGCGAATGGAATTCAGAGTTCGGGCATCCGACATGCCCCAAAATGAGGCAACAAGTGCGGGAAACCCAAGGAACAAGTGCCACCGCCCCCCTCCTACGACTTAACGTGGAAGCCAAGAAACAAACCATCCTTCTTAGAGGAAACTCCTTGGGCTCCGTGTCCAAGGGTCCTTTTTGTGGCTTTCTGAACGGACGCCAAAAGGAACAAAAGCCATTTTGCGGGGCCCCTCGGTCGTCCAAAGGACCCAATAAAGTTGCAATAACAAGCTTAACCAATTGGCCACCGTTACTACGGAAGACACAAGGTCAGGTCGATTCGCTTTAGGCAAGTGAGTTGGCCACATTGCGACAAACCCAGGTTCTCGTTTTAACCAAAGGAGAGGGAGAAAACTTGCTGGTGCTCGGTAGGAAAGGGAATGAATCCCGGGTACCCTTCAAGGAAACTCGGGGTCAGCCCCCGTTTCTCCTGCCCTTGGTTGCTGTTGACCCCCCTGCAAAAAGTTGTTTTTTTTTGTTTTTTTCTTGTGTGTGCGTGTTTGTTTATTTTATATATCTCTATATATATATATATATATATTGGGGGGGTGTAGTAGAAAACACCTTTATTTCCCAAAACGTTAAAGTCTAAAGGTCCATCCCAACAGCAGTCAAGTTCCCTGCAAAGCCTCGCGCCAGCAAGAAAAATATGTCCTTTTTGGAAAATAGATGGGTCTCCCTGGTAGATGAGTGAACCACCAGCGAAACCAGGGCCTTCTATTTTTAGCAAAACAACGGAAAAAAAAGGACCCCTATGCAAGAAAAGCAAAACGACGGGCGGCCCTCCCGGTAGATGTTGCTGTGATCCGCGTCCACCTCCGTAGAGAAGCCCCGCTTGGGGAAGAACTCGTCCGCCAGCTGGACCTCAAGAAATGGGTTCCAAGTGGACTAGGTGTGCCCGTTTCGTGGCTGGTGCGAGAAGTAGGGAGGCTGAGGGCATGAACCGGGGATTCCCTTTAAGCGGCTTTTTTGGGTCGTTCTGTTCTTGAAACTTGCTGGTGCGAGAGATGCAGGGATGAGAAGTGGAATGACCCCGACATAAACAGTCCAACTGGTGGTTTCCTTTCAGTGAATCTGCAGCTCCATTCCCTCATTCAAGCTTTGGGACAATAGATACCCTTGGATGTTCAGCCAAGTTGGTGAGCAATTAGCCACCTGGGTTTTAACCCACTAAGAACGGGGGTTAACTCCACAAGTTCACAGGAGGCATCACGCTGAAAAGGGTATCTGTAAGGCAGGGTGGGAATGTGTCCGCCCCTGTAGTGTTGTAGGCACTTGTAGTGAGCCCCCCTTTTGAACCATCGCAGGGACGGAACTTTTCCTACACTTGTAAAGGAACAGACTACCCCCCCTCCCCAAAGCAAAAGGTTATATATATAGATCTCTCTATATATGCACGGACAACAAACTGGGCACCCAAAACCCTCCCCTCGAAAGAAAAACACACAACACACATGTTCACGTCCAACCTCCCACCCCACCCCACCCAATCCCTGCGCATCACCTAAAAGACCTGGACCAAGGCGCGGCACTGCGCCACGAGAAGCCGAAGACGCCGTGCAGCATCTCGCGGACCTCAGGGGATGCAAACCCCCAAGAGGATGCTTTTCCGACTCCTTTGCCCGTTAGTGACACAACAATAGGAGGTGATCACCTTGTGCAAAATTGACTAAACATGCTAGGTCCTCCAGTAGAGAGGATAGAATAAGTTGGTACCAACATTTGTTCTGTCTATTTTAGTAACCCCAAAAAAAGGATAGAGAAGGGCACTACTGAGGGGACCTAGTTTCGGGCATCCACCCTGCCGGGAATGGATACGCCAAGCAGCATGCAAGACTTTTGCGATATATGGACTTCCATTTGCTGTTTCGCCCGGAAAAAACACGGTCAATATGTCCAGTAAAGACATGTTCCCGTGAAACCAACGAGGGGAAATAACACATATTCATTTCAGCAAGTGCGCTTTGAGGGCATCCACCGCACCAGGAATTGATACGCAAACAGCATGCGAGAAATTTCGCGGGGAAGAAAAGACCGAAGCTCATCCGGCCACGTGGATGTTAGCCCACTTACAAGTCCCCCGATCCATGGAGTTCACCTGGCGAATCGAACTTCCGAGTGGGATACTGGGACCCGAGCCCCCCCCCGCCGCGCGAATGCCGACGCATGCGCTCAGCGGACGAGTCCCTAAGGCCTGGCTGAATCCTTATCTTGGTCAACGTTCAGAACCCAAGTTCACCCCCAATTTGGAAGTACACCGAAGGTTCTGAAGCTATTTCGGGGCCCTTGGGTTCCTGCTGACCGAACTGAAATTAGTGGAGTCCAAACTGGACACCCATGAGTTCAAGAAACGGACCTATGCAGATCTCCAGACGTTCGCCACTAAACTTGGTTGCTGTCGACCCCCCTGCAAAAAGTTTAACTTTTTGGGGGTTTAGTAGAAAAGAAAATGGTCCAATCCCCAAAAGCGTTTGCAGTCCGAGACGGAACTCAGGAAGTGAGACACTCAGCCTTTGAGTCATTCCACACACCAAGCCATTCTTCATAACCCTTGGCATGGCTTGGCAAACAACTGTTTGTCTTCTGCAACCCCCGAACCTGAAAACGAAACAAAACAAACCACAAGAACAAAAAAACAAAAAGCAAGTAGAATCCCCACACCAAAAACAACTAAATGAAAAAAACAGACAACACTCACACACAACAAAATAATAAGAATAATAATAATAATACTAAAAATAGTAATCAAAATACTAATCATAATAATAATAGAACAAGAACATGATCCCAGAACAGCTCGAAGCCTTTGCTCAACTCCCACCCAGCCACAGCCATCCCCATCCCCAGCCACCCTCATCCATCCGAGACGCCTGGAAGTTCACCGCGGCCTTGTCCGCCGTCAGGAGCCCCACGAAGTCCAGGCGCTGCCACCAGAAGCTGCACCCAAACCTCGGCGTCTTTTGGCTGGGCCGGAAGGGGCCGCAAATGTTGTCCAACAGCTCTCTTCGTGCCCTGGACCCCTTAGAATCAGCAACTGTACCCAAAAAAGAACGCTTTTTTGGGGGGGCCATGGCTACATCACTGTTGCTTTTGAGGGATGGGTTTTCGTTCAATAGGGTCATGGTAGCTAATTCTCACCAACAAAGGCTAGTTGGGGAGTGGGTCAAAAATAGGTACCCAAAGTGAAACCCCTGGTGGTTTGATTTTGACCCATACCCATTTAGCAGCCAGATTACATCTCTTCCAGAAAACGACAGGGAACTATGACACACACAAACATCCACCGCCGCCCCGAATCTGCTTAAGACCAATGTATTGTCGGCAGTGCCCGTTTCTCATGGTGCGTTTTTCGGGTGACTTTTCTTTCTCAGGCGGCCCGGTTCTTTGACAAACTGAAACCATCTGCGGGTGCCCCACAAGCTTACGCAGCACATGCAACCTATTCTTCTCATTTGTGAATCAAGACGGGGTTTCGCAGAAGCGTAGCTAGATCCCATCCAGGACGCGCGCAACTTGCCTTCTACTTGGTTTCATGAAGGCCTGGATGACCTTGCTGGTAGACTCAGTGCTTAGCGACCCAGAAATAGAATGTGATCACATGTGATCATCTTTTCTTGGTTGCTGTTGACCCCCCTGCAAAAAGTTTAACTTTTTGGGGGTTTAGTGGAAAACACCTTTGTTTCCCAAAAAGTTAAAGTCTAAAGATCCAACCCAATAGCAGCCAAGTTTTGGGGCCATGATGAAAAAATATCCAAAATTGGAAAACCACGAGGGTCAGATCCGGCTATTGTTTGAGCAAGTGAATAGAAGTCAGTGGGTTTCGGGCTGTGACTCATCTCCACCCGCAAGAAGATCCCGGTGGCTTCACTCTGGAAACCCAAGTCAACTTGGTGGAAAGGTCTGTTGTCGACCCCGGATCTAAGCAGAACCCGTCCATCTTTTAATAGGGGGAGGGGGGGCCCTGCCAAAGTAGTCTGATTCCCCACGAAACCCAGCGACACCCCTCTATCCTCCAATAAACTGGGGTTGACTAATCTGGGGTCAACATTGCACAGGAACGTAGCGAAACGGGAGGCCGAGGCGCTCGATGTAGACGGCCTGCAAGATCCAGTGATCATCCTCCAGCCTAAGGCACAGGTGTGGATGCGCTTTTTTAGGATTTCACCCGGTCTTTCCTGTTGGTCCTTTTTACAGCTCCTTTAATATCCTACAGGGGTGTGGATCCACAAAAGCCACATCCAAACCGTTTTCTGGTTCCTGGGGATTTGTTTGGCGTTCGGTCAAGTGCAAAGCAATTAAGCGGGGTTGGAACCCACTTGTGAGCCCCACACAGGCCAACAGGTGCAGGCCTAGGTTCCTGACCACCAACTCAGCAACGAGCGCAGTGCAGCTTAGCCCAGCAAGAGTGTCAGCTTCTTGGGCCTCGTCCGAAACAATTAAACCTGGACGCAAAAGCCGCGCTTCCATTTGCGTTTTCGCCCCCTGGAAAAAAACAAGAATAGGTCCAGTAGTGAAATGGATTCCCTTTAAAACCAACAGGGGAAAATAAATATTAAAAAGAAAGAAAGAAAAAAAACGAGAAAAACACACACACACACACACACACAAAACAAAAAAAAAAAAAAACATCCTTTCAGCCAATGGAAGCGCGAAAGAAGGAAGGCCAAGCCGCATTCCCAGCGTTGGAACGGGCTGCGCCACGAAGAAGTCGAAGGCCCGGACCTTCTCGGGCAATCCGCTCCTGTCGGTGACGTTCTCCCAACCTCGGCTCGACTCGGCCGGGTGCCTGGGGTATGCCCGGGTCCCAAAAGGCCTGGTGGTGGTGGTGGTGGTGGTGGTGGTGGTGGTGGTGGTGGTAGTGGTGGTGGTTTTGGGATATGCCCGGCTTTTTCGGTGGCCTGGTGGCCCTGGAAGAAAACTGGTTTTGAACCCCTTCTCCCAGCCTTTTGGAGCTTGGAACGCGCGAAAAGACACCAAGACACCTGGAAGAAACTGGTTCAACCCGTTTTTAATAGGCTGGTATTCTTTTTTGGGGGGGGAACTTGTGTGTTATTCTCCGCATAGCAATGTAGCTAGCGAAATGACATGCCCTTTACATGCCTTGTGGGGAAATTAATTCCTTCTCCGAGCGCTTGGAACTTGGAAGCGCGGAAAGACCAAGACATGGCCGTGGGTCAACACGCATGGGATCCCATTTTGGTTGGTAGGTCCTGGTAGGTGAAGTCATCACCCATGTTGCTCGGGTTTTTAGTGGTTGGATTGGGATGTTCACTGGAATTACGGGGTTTTGACCCATGGCCACATGGGCGCCACGACCCCTAAAGGAAACCGCTGCTCAAAGTGAAGGGGATGGATATCTCAAGCGAACATTAGGCTAAGAAAAATGGACTGGACCCAGGCTGCTTTCAGGTTTTTGTGCGTGGCATACTTTCGGCTGCTTTCAGCGGGGAGCTCAAAGTCACACCATTTCCAAGTAAGAAGCCTCTAGTAAGTTCTTGCCAAATGCCCAAACATACATTTTTTGTGTGTTGGCCTTGAACTCGGAGAGCTTGTTGATTCTTAGGCAAGGTACTTTGTGGATGGAACAAAATCCAGGCTGATCGATGCACCAGTTGGATTTGGTGGCTTATCACTTTGTTCATCAGCGCTTCATCCATCATAACTGGCGCCCAAAATGGCCGCGCTCAATCTTCTAGGGGTACCTTCCCCATTCTTTCCAGGCATCCTTCTTTCTAAAAAACCGCCCCCCAAAACCCTGAAAAAACAGATCCGGTGTTTAAAAAGAACGATGGTCGAAAAGGGCCGTGGCGCCTCTTCTGTGGTCCTCCCTGCAGTGGGTGGACAGCTTGAGGCACCTGCCCAGTGCATTTCCAGCGGAGAAAAAGAAAAAAGGGCAACCATTTCCAAACTTCCATGGGAGAAATGGAGAAAAAGGGTTGGTTGGCTGGATTTCCAGGGGAACAAAGGAATCGGAATCCTCGATTTTTGGGTGGTTTGTTGAGTTTAAAGTTAAAGGGAACCCTTCCCCCCCAAAAAAAGAAGAAGGGGCACCACGGGGCAACTGAGGCACTTGTCCAAAAAGGCGGACAGGAAGCGCTCCAGGGGATCGCGCACGAAAACCACGAACTTCCACCGCGGATCTTTCCAAAAGTCGTAGTGCAGCGAGTAATGCACCTCGAAACGACACGGAAACGGCTCGCGTATGGGCGTGAATTGTTGTTTTTGGGGACCCCAACCCCGCTCCAAAAAATTGGTGGTTTTCTTTTTGGCTTCCCTTTTAAACCTACCAAACAGGGGAAGCCTGCAAAAAAAGAGCCACACCCATATTGCAAGCCGCCCCGGAAATCGAAGGTCCTAAGGTTAACCAGGAGAAATTGAACGACTGACCCCACAACGGCGGTCTTCGCCCCCTTTAATAACAAGGAGAACCTGATTCGTAATGACAAGAGGGGCTATGCACCCCTGGTTTTGCTACGGCCCGACATCTGCTTGTTGTGGATCTGCCCTACTTGTAGTGGTTCCATGTTAGTTTGTTAGCATGCAGGGGGAAGACACCCCGGGAAAGAAAACAACCACGCACATGCATGTTCTTACCCCCTACTCAAAATACCCGTTTTTTTCAGGGTATTTTTGGGAAAACCTGGTTTTCCATGGTAAAAACCTCCTTTTTTAGTAGAGGGTCGACATGATACCCTGAAAAAAGTTGGGTTTTGGAGTAGGGATTAGAGCTTGATTTCAACAGGGGAGCCCCCAACAAAACCCAACAAAGGACCGCCTGGCCCCGTTTTTGCAGCAGCCAGCCTTCCGCTCGTCGTACCGCGACGCCGCATGGGAGAGGTCATCCAGGGTCTTGTTCAACCCGTAAATCCGATGCATCATGAAGAAAAACTGCGTCAAACCCACCTGGTCAGAAAACGGCAAATGTCCACCCCCCCCGCGGTGGCCCTGGCAAATGAAGGTACCTTTCGCGGTTTTGAAGAGGAAACCAAACCACAGGGAAAACCACCATTTTGGGGCTCCCGTAACAAAAAGCCACACCAATTTCAATAAATGAAAAAAAGAAGTCTCGCAGCCTATAAGGGTGACCGCCGAAACGAAACAGGGGATCCAAGGTGCACAGAGATGTACCAAGTCACCCTTACTACAGATCTCCGATCGGAAACCGAAAACGATGGCTCTGAAGCCAATCTGAGAGACGGGACTCGGCGAGTTGCCCTTTACAAGGGGCCTTTCAAGAGGACGGTCGTCTTCCAAAATATTGAAGGGACATATATGTGGTACTTCAGGACCGAATTTCCTCATGATAGTACGCTACTCGATTTTGTTTGGCCTCTCATATTCACCACAAAACTCCAAAGCAGAGAATAATAATACTTTTTTTTAACCTTCCGCCCCCCCCCCCCCCTTGTTGCCTTGGGGATCGCACAGAGCGCCACCCGGTGGCGAGAGCTAGCGTGCAGGCGCGTGATGTAGAGGCCCCAGTGGAACCTTTAGAATGCGCGCGCGCAGCCGGCGGGTAACTGGGGCGAAATCCACTTAGGCAACACCAAAGACACCCCGGAAGGATGATTTCCCCTGTAAATACCAACCAACAAGCTGGGCTGCCCTCAGATCCCCTGCTAAAAGTTTAACTTTGAGTGGGCTGCCCTCAGATCCCCTGCTAAGAGTTTAACTTTGAGTGGGTTAAATGGAAACTACCACTAAACGCTAAAAAGCTAAAAGGCTAAGGAAACGGATGGCTGGGAGCCACCAAGCAATGGTTCCCTTGTTTTGCAAATGGCGCAGGATTTCGTCCATCCGCTGCGGTTCAAGAGCATTTTCAGGTGGGCTTCGGGGTATGGATGCTTAAGCTTCTGAGGCAGTATCTAGCCCTACAGGTGGTATATATTATGATATATGACCTCCGTGTCTCGAAAACCCACACCTCAAAAGCAACAGTGATGTAGCCATGGGAAAAAATGGTGTTTTTTTTGGTACGAGGCCCCCTCCAAGAACTAGGAACTAGGAACTCTGGGCATCACACTCTACCAGAAAGCTCCTCCTCGTCCCGAACACCTCGGGCCGTTTCCCTCTGCAGGGGTTCAAATCCCCAACTCACCAACCAAAAGCCACCAACTAGGGCTTCACAACCCTTGATATGGGTAGCAAAAAACACAACAACTCTTTCGCAGCCCCGCAGCAAAACATAACAGAACCCAAACACAACTTGCCCCAAGAACGGCGAAACGGATTTCGGGGGGGAGGGGTCCTGAGATCTGAGGCTTTTTCGCCCCCAGTGGCCGGCCTTATGACATGCCTCGGGGTGTCTTCTTGCATTCAAACCATGACCAGTACTGGGGGGGGTTCATACCTGGATCTTCCAAAGTCTGCATTTGTCATGCCTTTGTGGCGTTTTCAGCAAACGCCGGGAAACATGCACACCTGAAGATTCAGGTAGAACCATGGTCTTTACCTAAAGCGTGTCATCCAAATTGGATCCCAAGGCCATTCTTTGGGGGCAAGCCCCCCCGCCCGGTCCATGAGCAAAGAGTCAGTCCGCTGACTTTGTCATCAGTGAGTCCCTCGTTTGACACCCCAAGAACGTACCGCGAACACTTGACCGAGCCTCAAGTGAGCCACAGCCAAAGTCTGGCACCAAAAAATTGTCTACCCCAAAATATGCAACTAGGAAAACACAAAAGGGCAATGTATGGTCGGGATAGCTCCTTACCAACCTACACACACCGTTTCGCGTGTTTCGATCGTAGCCCGTCAGTACCCCTCAGACTAACATGGAAGCTCCCAGAAGGCCGTAACTCACTTCCGATCGAGTGGATCGGCCAGGAAAAGTCCGAACGTTTCTTTTACCCCTAGCACCCCCGCTCAGACTAACATGGAAGCTCCCAGATTGGCCAGAAAAAGTCCGAACGTTTCTTTTAGCATGGTCTGGCCGAAAAAAGTTGAGCAAGTCCAGGAGCTCGGGAAGTGAGGCAAATGGAACTTCAAGTCTTCCCAGTTCTGACTTCCACGGCCCTGTCTAGGTCCTCCAGATTTGAGAGGTTAGAGTAAGGGTGCCAACTTTTTTTCTGCAGTCTATTTGGGTGGGGGAACCCAAAAAACCCCAAAAGAGGAACGGTAAAAGTTGGCACCTTGGGGGGCCTAGATGTGGGGAAAGTGTCGGCGTCGCAAGCTGACCCGACGAGCTGCGCCATGTAGAAGGCCGTGGGCAGGGCCATGCGGAAGGCGGTGCGCGGGGGGCGAGCGGGCCAGGCGGCCGGCCAAAGGTACCAGGCCGGCGCCTGGCTGAGGGGTTGGCTCAAGCCAGTCGTCCATTTGCTTTCTTAGGCCAAAAATGGAAAATGGAAAACATGTGGCCGGTCGTGAAATCGGTTCCCTTTAGAACCAACAGGGGAAAATAACACCTGTTCTTAAGCAAATTGAAGTAGTCCTCACTTCCGTTTATTGATAGGGGGGTGTCCCTGGGATTCAGACCACTTTTGGAAGGGAACACCCCGATTTTGCTATAAGCTTGGGTTGATTAATCTGGGGTCAACAGGATTCGCTTCCTAAGTTGATGGGCCAAACAAAGTCTGAACTTGTTGTATGCCACGACAATGGTCCAAACCCAAAAAGTGACTAAAGTCCAGAAACTCAGGGAGTCAGAGTATCTGCTGCCCTCCAAAAAGAGTGGTTTGGAGCCTGCTGAACATATCAACCGCGGGCGCGTGAGAACGTCAACGCTGGTTCCATGTCAGCGGGGCTTCAGTCAGAGGCCGAGTTGTTCAACGGTATCCTCTACCTTCGTTGGGTGTCCCACAACTTACTATGAGGTAACCCTTAGTTGTTGGTTTGGATTGGCGGCTTGGGGATTTGAACCAATGGCTTTGTGGAGGGTAAATGGGAAACCAGTGGAATCTACTGAGCAGCTGCGATACATACAGTGGATGGACAAAATCCTGCACCAGTTGGGAAAAATGATATATTGGAGAATGGTCGAAATCGCTCGTTTGACTCCCGCATCAGTGAGCTCTCTTTGATTTGCCCAGGTACAATCAGCCTTTGACTAGCTCTCAGCTTCCCTCTGATACCCCAATTGGAGCAAGTAAGGGTCAAAGGTTCTGTGAGTTCTGTCACGTATCAGCCAGCCCCAAATCCATTGGTGGCAGAAGGCGAGCTGACCTCCAAGCCAATTCTGGGAAACCATCTCCGGGAAATTCTCCAGACAGCTCGCCAAGCACCCGAAACAAACTCAAAGAAACTTATTTTTCCGCAAGCTGGGTTTCTTGGACCACCCTGCAAAGTCCCATACCTCCAAAAAGCAAAGCAAAAAAAGAAAAGAACGAAAACAAACGGGGGAAAAAAAGGATACTCCGAGTGAAGGACCTTGACTTTCGCCCGCCGACTCCCCCGGACTCCGCCTCCAAAGGCCGGGTCTCCAACAGCCGCTGCAGGCTGTAGCCGGCCTCCGCCTCGGAAGGGCCCAGGCGCAGCCGCACCTCAGCCGAAACATCCAGGTGTCCCTTTGATCCAGGGACTTGGATGGGTGGGGGGGCGTGGGGGGGTTGGAGGTGTGGGTGAGGTGGGAGGGGCGGTTGGGGTGGCCGTTGGGGTGGGGGGTGGGGTTGGGGGTGGGGTTGGAGGTGTGGGGTGCCTAAGCAAAAAGCAAGTCATCCCTACCTTCAGTTTTTTCCAACAGTCCATTACCCTCCGTGCCTTGAGGCAGCTAAGCATGTCTTTCATAGTGGCTCGGGGGTATACTCAAAAGGTAGGGCTCTTAGAAGCGCTTAAAAGGGGGAGTCCGAGAGCCAGAAATGGAGATCTCCAGGGTTGCAATCCTCCCCGCCCCAATTCCGTGTTGAAAGGGGTGGGGATTGCAAAACCAACTGGTGTCCGTTGAACCCCTGAAATGGAAGCCACTGAAGAACAAAAAACACACACAAAAAACGCAAAGCCAGTGCTTCCAGTTGCCACTGGCCAGGGCCAGGGGAACCATCATGTAAAATGTAGAGTAAGGAGCCCTTGCTACCTTCAAACTGGAAGGACTGGGATGTTGGTTTTCTTGAGCCCTTCAACCCACTCACTTTGAGTGGGGTATCAAGGACCTGCTTTTCAGAACTGAAGGATCGGAAAACCTATCCATGCCTCCTTGGGTTGACCCTTGCTCTCACTTCCGACCGAGTACATTGGCAAACAAAAAGTCGCCAAACTTTCTATTTAGCACCAAAATGGTCAAAGCCCAAAAAAGTACTCAACTAGCCCAAGTAAGTCCAGTTAAACTCAAGGAGCGAGTTGTGAACCCAAGCTTTTTTTAGCCGGCGCCGCTGAAGAACTGGCTTGGGAACCCAACTCACCTGAAGGTGCTCCCCCCGTGCCAAGCAATTAAAACAATCAGTATATCTATCACCATATGAAACATGTACAATATTGTACCTAGTTTGTGCATGGTTGCTTGGTGCTGAGGGGAGGCTCGCTTGTTTGTCTAGATCAAGCTTCTCTATGCTGTTTCGAGAAAAAAAGAGAGCTGCGTGCACGAAAAGCGCTAGGGCTAGCATCACCTGAACAACTCTTCCCAACTTCCATATGCTTAAGCCCCTGGAAAACAATACATGTCCAATAGTGATGGATTCCCACAAGTTTACACTTGTTTCTCTTTCGTGGCTGCTTACCCATTGCGTACGCTGCGCGTTGCGGAGAACTGGCCAAATTCACAGACTTGCGTTGCGTGATGTCCCTGTTTCCCCTCGAAATGCGCTCGCATTTCTGAAAACCAACCTGCAGCCAAACCGGTGGAAAGCCAGAAAACTTCCCTTCCAGGTAGAAAATGGTGATCACAGGAGTTCTCCACCTTGACACAAGTACCCTCTTTGCTTGCACTGGTTTAGCTTGGTATTATTCCATTTGCTTAAGAATATGTTGTATTCTCCCCTGGTAGGGCTTGCCAAGAAGGAAGATCAAATTCAGAAGGGCCTGTTAATTTTACAGGGTGGATACACCCTTCAGGTTGCCACACATTTCCGCGCTCGATGGTTGGTACAGTTAGCCTGGGAAGTAGTGGCAAATAGTTGCCCGACAAGGGCAAACATTCTAGGTGTCAAGTAGGGGGTCTGGCAAAGTTGCACAAACAACCAACCTCCCTCTGAGTCAAAATCAAAACTCTGTATCTTTAAATGGTCTACCCAGAACCATGTAAAGAATTAAGAAGGCGGATCTCCGCAGCTATTTATGGTTGGGATTCTCTTACTAACCTTCATTTACCCGAATCGGCTAATTCCTCTATCCTCGTTGTCTCGAAAAACCTTCAGCCGGTGGCGTTTCTTAGCAAGTCCTCCCCCTTCCACACCGCTGCCCCTTGCAAGTTCACATACCCCAAGAAAAAGCTGGTTGTTTTCATCCCCCCTCCAATTTAATAGCTTGATTTGTAGGGGTTGATTGTAGGGGTTGACTTGTAGGGGTTTAGGGAACTAGGTTGGTTTGTAGGGACCCGTTCGACCCACTTGGGTTCGGGGAGGTCCCATGGCCTTCCCCGAACCGCGCCTTGGCGAGCAGCGGGACCTGGGGCCCATGGCTTAAGCCCAGCCGACGCCTGAGTGAGGCATCGAAGTTTTCGGCCCCCCTTCCGCGCACCTTTTTTCCACCCCCCTAGTCGTAGCACAGGTTTATGAAGAAAAAGAACTGGGGTCAAGAATGCTATGTCCTTAAACCGGGGTCAACATTACACGTTGCTATGTCCTTAAACCGGGGTCAACATTGCTGAAGGGTCATATCCTCCCTCCCTTAAAATGGCAACAGACAGGGGATCCATGGTTGATTTTGAGCGCGGGGGTGTCCGTCGGATTCATGACCACTTTTGGGGCCCCCCGGCCCCCTTATTAATAGGAACGGGTGTATGAAACCGGGGTCAACATTGCTGACGGGTCATATCCTCCCTCCCACCTAACGTGGCACCTGACAGGGGGTCCCTTCCAGAGGAACCTGATCTTCCAGGTTGCCTCCCACAGACGCTAGGCTTGGGGGAGCAAGGATACCCAAAATCCATTCTCCCTCCAGGAACCCTCTGTTCTACCTAAAGAATCGACATGTCTGAATCAGTTTACCAGGTTTTCACAACCCATCGGGTCTTTTTTAATGTGCTGGAAAACAAACGATCTTAAACACAAAAAAGGACCCCGTGGCAAGAGTGACGTAATTTCTTGCAAAGGCCACACCCAAACGGGGTCATAACAAAAACGGAGCAAAAACAAACACACAACACGCAAGTCCCGCCCTTGGCGTGTGACCAAACTTTGCTTAACAGCCAACTCCCCCGTACAAGAACCAGGGATTCAAATCCAAATCCAAACCACCGGTCACCCAACCACCAGCAACTACCTACCTTTGGCACCATCAACCAATGGCACCAGGCTGAGTACATTCCTAAGACCTATGGCACCTATAGCACCTAAGACCGGGCACATTCCCTACCCATCCCTTGTGCTTTCCTTTAAGGGAACCCCCCATTTCACCTTCCCTACCGATTTCAAGCGCAGCCAACTTCCAGCCAACCCCCGCCCCCAAGAATCCTTAACCATCCAACCGGTGGTTTCCCTCTTTCGGGGGCTAACGTACCGTCAACCACTTCCAGCCACCCAACCCCCAGCCCCAGGTCCCCCCCCCCGTCGCCCCCATCGCTCGCTCCCCGTCGCCGAGGCGCAGCACTTGGCGCCAGCCCAAGGGCCGCTCCGCGGCCCTGGGGCACCAGGAAGGCACGCAGAGGCCCAGCACCTCAAATCCGAAGCTCAGTTGTTCAGTGACCCCGGGAAAAAAAGGGGAACCCTTGTTGGGGAAGACCATTTTTAGTGGGGCCGCCACCCCAAAACAAAAAGAGGAAAAAGGGTGCCACTGAACAACTGAGAAAGTCACGAAAACCGACTCGCTTGGCTCATTGGGGCCGTGTGGCGGGTGCTTCATGTCGTCCAGGCTGCTGGCTTTCGTTTGCATAATATCTGGCAACTTGCTAAACCTTACATTGTCGACCGACGCTTTCTATTTTGTAGGGTGTGCTTGCTTCTTGGCTTTCATGCTGTTTACGCTTCTTGTCCCTTAAGTGCCGACCGTGGTAAGGCAACGGGAAAAGCGACAACATTTTGGGGGTTCCCAAATGATCAAGCATGCTTAATTCAGTTGCCCCTGAGACAACCGGAAACAAGGTGTGATAACCTATTGGGGCCATAAAAATAAACCAATGATGGATAGCCCCCCCTCCCCTTCTCACTTCCGATCGAGTGAACTGGGCAAAAAAGTAACCCGGAACTTGATATGTCCCACTAAAATGGTCCAAACCCAAAAAGTGACTAAAATCAACATGAACCCAGGGAGTCCCTGCCTTAGCCCCTTCGGGTTCTTAAGAAAACCTGCAGTGTTCCTTTAGAAAACACGTCACATGCATTGGGCTTGTTGCTAGCACACCAAAAAACACAATGCGGCTTTCGTTGTTCAAACAAAAATCACAACCAACCCAATGGTGTTTTGTCTTCTTCTTTTGCTGAAAAACCAAGTCAACAGCCCGTACCCCCCGCCCCCCCCAGTGAACATCACACTCCCAACTAAAGTAAGGCCTAAAATGCGTGGTGCGCCTACCCCAAAATGGGATCCCATGGGTTTTGACCCACACCATTTCTCGGTTGCTTTCTGCTCCCCTGCTAAAAGTTTAACGTTTAGTGGTTTAGTGGAAAACCCATTAGTTGGCAAAAAGTTAAAGTCCTAACATCCCTGGGCAAAACGCACCAAAGATTTGGTGTGGTGTCCAAGTTCTGCTCCCCAGACAACACCCTCCGCCCCTCCGCCTGCAGCTGCCGCCACTCTTCCGCGGAGACACGCCGTGCCACCGCCGCGGCCAGCGCTTCCTGCGACGCGAGGAGTGTCTCGGCGGCCGGAGGTGGGGATCTGTGGATGGAATGCATGAACCAAAAGATGAGAAAATATGTTTAGTGATGGATTCCCTCTAAAACCAAAGGGGACAATAGAACATCGAAGTCTCCATGACCCCTAGAAAAAGGGGTGGTAACCCGGGTAATGACCCCATTTCTTAAGGGTCATGGAGACTCCAGGAACTCAGAAATGGCGCTGCAAGACGCACATCCGTGGCTCGTCCTTTTGAGGGATCTCCAAAATCATGGTTTTCCTTGTGGTTCCTCCCTTAAAACCCACCGTTTAAACAGGGGGGAGGGACACACCCATGTAAAGGTCGGTCAAAAGGCCATCTACAGTGAAACCCATCTATTTTCCCACTAAAGGTCACATACTGTGGATGGTTGCGAAATCCAGAAATCGCACCGCTTGGAATTAAGGGGAAACCATTCAGGGTTGGTATTTACAGGTGAATCAAATCATTCCATGGTTTCTTAAGTGGTGAGTATCGTCCATCCACAGTATGTCAACGTACTCGGTTGCTTATTTGGATGTTTGATTCGCCAACTTCGTAAGTGGCTACCCACCTGAGCTATGACCCACTGTGATTAGCCATGGTTTATTACATCACCAGGGATGTCGCGGTAGTGACTGACCTGTGGTGTTTGGCTCAAGTTTTGGGTTCCGTCGCGCCTCGAATGGGCGTCGCCGAACCCCTGCGTCGACCGACGGCATCTCGGGGGAGAAAGAGACCTCGGGCCGCCGCCAGGTTGGTAGGGACCAGTCGTGCGGCCTGTTGTCGACCAAGGTTGCGGGTTAACCCTTTTCTTGTTTGGTTTGTTTTCCTTTTGGTTGTTGTTCTCTGGTGTGTGGGAAACCCTGATCTTTGGGACCGGGGATTGGTTTGCTTTTGGGGAACCTTTCTTTTGTGGCTTGTTTACCCCAACTTACCCATTGCCTGGGCACAGGCTCGTGCCCGAATCACAGGTTATCAGCCGTAGGACTTTCCTACGCGCTTGAGACCATCAACTACAAGCTCTATGTCGACCCCACGATCTCGCAGGAGTGTCGTGGATGAGGAGGCCATCCTAGGTGGCCTCCGCTCAGGTGAGGACCTGCCGGACTATGACTACTACACCCAGGAGCCGTGGCGGGTACGCCGACGATGGAGACGATCGTATTTTCCGCCAGGCCACTGATGACGAGCAGACACGAAGGGTTTACTCCGGTAGGAGTGGCTCTGAATCAGGTCATAGACGTGGACGTTTTGACTTCATCAGCATGGCGATGGACATGGCCCGCCCTCATTCGGATGACCCGGAGGCCATGCCGATTCGACCTCCGAGATCTCTTGTTCCAGGTGAGTCGCAGGTCTCGGATGAGTTTGAGAATAGGCCGCAGGGACCAGGGACTATGGTTCTGGCTCCGGGAGGTATCCCGGGCCGATCCACTGGTTCTCAAAATCCAGGTCAGTTTGATGAGCACGAGGAGCGGAAATTCACGGACTTCGGATACGATGATCTGTTGAAATCAACCGCAGGTTGGGGCAGTAGCTCAAAGCAGGGATCTGATGCCGGTAGGCCCAACCCTAATACTGCCAAATCTGAGTCTTATGATGGCGAAGATTACAATTTTGCGGATGAGGAGGAGAGCCATTCGCGCCGAGATGCAGGCAGCCGTGAGACTGCAAGGACTAGTCCCGCCGCTGCCAAGTTTGAGGTCGATGATGATGACGAGTATGCCGCATTTGCGGATCGCCGTGATGAGGAGGAGGACCAACCACGACGAAATGCTAGGATCCGTGATGCTGCGAGGCCCAGGAGCCTCTCTCGTGGAGCCGCCAGGGACCTTCGCGTTGACAGGGATGCCCGAAGCGAGAGAGAGAGAGCCAGGGACAGTCGGGAAGTTCTTCGGGGATTGGAGGCCATTCATGACCGCGAGGGACCGGTAGGTCCCCCGGCGATTGGTGATTCCCCGAATGTTCCCCCCTTTCCCAACATCACATTTGGAGGTCCGTTGAGTCAGAGAGACGTGAACTCGAACCGGGTTACTGGTTCACCGAGGATCACTGAGCGGGCTGCCGATGTTGTTAGGACAGGTGCCAGAGATGGTCGGCTTGCCGATGCACTCGGGATCGAAGATCATCCGTCGATCGCTAGCCCGTTAGGGCGAGATACCAGTGATCTTGAAACTCTGAGGTCTAGCAACGAGTTCACACCTCAATGGGGTTCGACTGCCAGGGAACGTAGTGTTTCTGCGAAAAGACCGTCACCTCTCGCCGCTGAGACCGATAGGTCAAAGGCGAGGAGGGCTAGCCCCTCACCGATGGATTCAACTCCGCAGGATGAGGAGATGCCCGATCCCGCTGATGTTCACATTCACTCCACCCCCGAGTCACGTGCATCCAACATTGATCCTCGATCTGGCGATAGCCGGAGAAGGGGATCTACCCCGAGTAGACCATCCAGGATTGATGATTGTCCCGTGGATGACCCCAGAAGACATGTCGGGGCTAGTGGGGCTCCTGAGAGGATCGAGATATCGACTCCTCCCGCCCTCAGATCCCAGTCTTCCGGCGAATCAGGTGACGCTAGGGCGAAGGAGGTGTTCGATCTGCACATCCAGGAGATGCTCGAGAGAGGTGAGGTTTCTGGCTCAGTCGCGAAGGCGTTCCACATCTTTGCTGACCAAATCAGGGTACTGAACGGTCAGGTGAGTTCCATGCGAAGGGAATGGAGTGACGAGAGTCAACGGACGAAGGACAAGGTCGATCGCCTGGCAGCTGAGGTTGCGACTCAATCTGATGCCGGGAGGATGCGAATGATAGTTCAACGGTTCGCAAGGGAAGTTATTCCCGATAGCAAGGCCATTGTGAGGCAAGCCATCGATGAGCAAGCCGAGGTCGTGGAGCAGAGGATTAACCTACTGTCCCACGAGGTCCATGAATCTGTCAGGGACAATGAGGCATCGACTGATCGGCTTCGCCTGATGATCCAGGAGAATAGTGAGGCTGCCCGCAGAAGCCATGCTGCTTCTGAGGACGAGACCCTTAAGGATTTGGACAAGCTTGAGAAACGGATGTTCTCGGTAGAGAAAGCCGTTGGGATGCGGACCCCGGCAGGTGTATGGAACCCGAACCCTGTCGCGCATCCATCCGATAGGGCCAGCGGCAGTGTAGTCGATGCAAATTTCAGGGAGTTAAACCTGAAGATCGAGAAAGCTCTCCTTGATCACGAGACATTTGCCAAGTGGGCCTCTGAATCTATTGAGGGGGTCAAAGAGGAGCACACTCGTCTTGTTAATCGAGTGTCTAGACTGCAGAGTGGAAGGGGTTCTCAGGAGGTCGATAGACCATCAGGGCATGATTCCCCGCAGGACTGGCATGAGGCTGTTGACGAGATCAATCGGAAGATGCAGGATCTGGCTCGAGGAATTCAACGTCAACGTCGGGATCATGACGACATCATTTCTAGGTTTGAAACCGTGAAATCACATGTTGAACAGTATGAAGCGAGATCGGCAGTTGTGAATCGGGTCGTTGATGGCATCCAAGGACAGATCCGTAATCTTCCTGCCAGCAGTGACCAAGTGCAGCCTGCCGTTAGGCGAGAGCTCGGCACATTCCGGAGTACACTTGAAGGTGTTATGCGGAGAGTCAGCGCTATCGATGGTAACGTGCGTAACCTTAGCGCCGCGAACAACAGAATCATGTCCCAGCTCTTTGAGATGGAGGGTCAATTTGACGAGGCTGCTGGCATCATTCAGGGTGTCCAGCAGATTAATGAAGCTCCTCCACAACCCAGAGAAAGGCGGAATGTTGGTTACCATGCATTTGCGGGGCAAGGACATAGGATCAGGTCACCGACGCCTACACCAGGGGAAGGTGACGGCCGGGGTACTGGCCTGCCGGTGAGACCAGGCGGAGGCGTTGTTTTGCCTGATCATGTTTTGCCGAATGTGCCCGATAGGGTCGATCCTTCTCGCGCAGACAGGCATCCCATCTATCCCGTTAGGGAGAGGTCCGACAGCAGGAGCAGGAGGGTTCGGGGGTTGCCTGACAGGTCGCATTCGCCACCGGAGCGTGCAAGGGGTGGTCCCCGCGCGCGCGCAAGGGGGGACGTTTCTATTTCCCCCAATAGGGATGCGGGTAGGAATAGGAGCCCGAGGCCTGCTGCCGTCCCCGATAGGGGATCTGAGGCCCGGAGTCGGCAATCGAGGGGGGAGAGGCCGATCCGCGATAGCGGGAGTGTCTCTCCGAATTTTGATAGGCCAATCCGCGATAGCGGGAACGTCTCTCCGAACCCAGGTCGTCATTCAGGAGGTGGTGGAGATAATAGGGTCCATGCCAACATCCAGAGTCCTGGTGATGAGTGGAGGACTCCTGGGAGCAGAGTCAGCGCCGACACCCAGAGTCCCGGCGATAGGCGAGGGACTGCTGGAGCTCCTTCGGATCGTGGACAGGCCTCAGCGCCGGCTGCAAGAGGGGCTCCCGGCGGTGCTGGCCCAGACGCGCCAAAGATTTGTGCCCTCGATGATCCCAACGACCGTAGGCACCCGAATGCTGAATTCTCGTGTGTGACATGCAGTCGTGAGTTCTGCGGGCTTTGTCGTGGCGACGACGGGGACTGTTGCAATTGTCAGTTCCTGAAGATGAAATGCTGGGCATGCCGCAAGAATGCTCAGGAGGTCTCCATGTATCTCTGCACGGGTTGTGGGACTCACGTCTGTGAGAACCACTGTTACTTCGGAAATGACGGCCTTGAGCGATGTGCACGCTGCAATATTCGGCATGAACGCGCTCAAGCTGGACCGCCCCCTCCTCCTCCTCCCGGGGGAGGTGGTGGGCAAGGCGGACCACCTGGTCAAGGTGGGAGCGGAAGTGGTGGGCATGGACATGCCCCAGCTCCACCGCCAGGTCCTGGGCATTATGGTGGAGGCCAAGATCCCGCTGGGCCTTCTGGAGGCCCGAGTGGAGGGGATCCTACCGGGGGTTACCCTGGTGGAGCGCCCGGGTTCCATGGTAGTGCTGCGGATGCTCATGGAATTGGGAACAATCAATGTGGTTCCAGTTTCTATGGTCCTGCCTACGGAGGTGGCGTTAGTCACCAAGGGGTTGGCGCTGGCGTTAGTCAGTCTGGCAATGCCACAGGTTACCCCTCGAGTGTTGCGAGCGGTGGTAACCTTGGGCCGGGTCTTAGCCTCGGCTATAGTGTGAATGGTGCCGGTAGGCAGGGAGACGGTGGTCTTCTCCCTGAAGCCTTGAGGGGAGACGATGGACGGGACAGGTGCACGAAGTGCAGCAGAATCCCTGAGCCTGGTTTCCCTCTTGTTCCTTGCGTTGGTTGCGGAATGAGGGCGTGTGAAGTTTGCTGCCCTATGCCTGCGAGACTGTGTGAAAGTTGCAGGATTACCTCATGTACCCCGATAGGGGCTCTGATTTCCACCGTTGTCGATAAGGATCGGTTCCATCATAAGTGCAACACGATCGTGCTGCCTGCTGAGCCGACAGCTGATAAGCTGCGCGAGTGGCTTTCCGAGGTCAAGGAGAGGGTCAGGAATGCTTTCAGCTTTGACTCTGACTACGCGTTAGCGTGGATATCAGAGACTGAGAGGCTTGACTATGATGCTCTTGGCGGACCCTGCAAGTACCCGATATTGGACTCAAACTTCACGAGTGCTATCAGGGAGTGTATCAAGACCAGGGCTGTCAGGGACAAGATGAATCGCCTGACCGAAGCCGCTCAGAATATGAGTC